GACTGCTAACCACAGACTGGTGGTTCAAACCCACCAGCATCTCTTTGGAAACTCTGTACAGAGTTGCTATGCATTGGAACCGACTCGACAGCACTTAACAACAAGACAACAACGTTTTCCTTATGTTTCTCTCTCTCCTTGTATCAAAGGAAACAAGCCAGAAAAAAAAAAAAAAATGAAGCATTTCTGTTACTATCTTACAATATTTAAATAGTTACCAAATTTTAAAAATCAATAGCTCTTTTCTGCACACCAATCCCTCCCCAAGCCCAAGCCTGGCCCCAGGGTGTCTGGGCAAGCTTTCATTGGCACCTTGCGCTGGCTCTGTCGGACCCGCAGCAACTTGTAGGCGTACTCATCCTTGTTGTCCTCATTGTACTGAAATACAGCAAACTCCACCGACATGACAAAGTAGTTCAAATTCTTACTGATGTCTATAAACTCATATCGGATACTCCAGACTTGTGTCCCCAGTACCATGAGCCCCAGAAGTAGAGTTACCTGCTGGAACATAGCTAACCTCAACAGCCGCACTAAGGGCCTGGAAATGCTCAGGAAGACACTAGCTGAGGTGGAAGTGTAGGAGTAGGGGTTTGGGAGAGGCAGCTGCTAACAATGTCCTGCACAGATTGGATCCCACACACCCTGCCAGTAGAGGCCCTGAACTAATCAACTCCTCTCTTCAAACAATGCTTCTGTCCACTCCCCCACCTCAAAGGCAGTAGCAGAACAGGAGGCCTCAGACTCACAGACATGCATTAAAAGTCACACTCTTTTCACTGCACATTCCAGGGCTGCTTCCTCATCTCACCAAGCCCTGCTAAAGCCCTGGGATGAGGGACTGTGTCCACATCACCACACTCATGCCAGTGCAGCTAACTCACACAAGACATGGTGAACTAGATTCCAGGAAAGGCTAGGGAGAACCATGTCTGCCTGTGATATTGCTGTTGTTGTTGTTGTTAGGTACCATCAAGTCAGTACCGACTCATAGCGACCCTACACACAGCAAAATGAAACACTGCCTGATCCTGGGCCAACCTCACAATTCTTGCCACACTTGAGTCCATTGATGCTGCCACTTGGCCAATCCATCTCGCTGAGGGTCGTCCTCTTTTTCTCTGACCCTCCACCTTACCAAACATGATATCCTTCTCTAGCGACTGGTCCCTCCTGACAATATGTCCGAAGTATGAGAGATGAAGTTAGGCCTTCTTGGTCTCCAAGGAGCACTCTGGCTGCACTTCTTCCAAATGGATCTGTAGGTTCCTTTGGCAGCCCATGGCACTTTCAATATTCTCCTCCAACACCATAACTCAAAAGCATAAATTCTTCTACGGTCTTCCTTATTCACTGTCCAGCTTTTGCATGCATATGAGGTTATTGAAAATACCAAGGCTTGGGTCAGGTGCACCTTAGTCCTCAAGCTGACATCATTGCTCTTCAACACTTTAAAAAGTTCCTGTGCAGCAGATTTGCTTAATGCAATACGTCGTTTGATTTCTTGGCTGCTGCTTCCGTGAGTTTTGATAGTTGATCCAAGAAGAATGAAGTCCTTGACAACTTCAATCTTTTCTCCATTGATAAGAGTGTTGTTTATTGGTCCAGTGGTGAGGATTTTTGTTTTCTTGACATTGAGATGTAATTCATACCGAAGACTGTGTTCTTTGATCTTTATCAGTAAACATTTTAAGTCCACTTCACTTTCAGCAAGCAAGGTTGTATTGTCTGCATATCGCAGGTTGTTAATGAGTCTTTCTCCAATCCTGATGCCACATTTTTCTTCATATAACCCAGCTTCATGGATTATTTGCTCAGCATTCAGGTTGAATAAGTATGGTAAAAGAATACAACCTTGTTGCACACCTTTCTTAATTTTAAACCATTCAGTGCTCCCATGTTCTGTTTGAACAACTGTCTCTTGGTCCAGGTACAGATTCCTCATGAGCACAATTAAGTGTTCAGGAATACTCATACTTCACAATGTTGTCCATAGCTTGTCATGATCCACACAATCAAAAGCCTTTGAGTAGTCAATAAAGCACAGGTAATCATCCTTCTGATATTCTCTGATTTCAGGCAAGATCCATCAGAGATTAGCAATGATATACCTCATTCCATGGCCTCTTCTGAATCCAACTTGAACCTCTGGAAGTTCTCTGTCAATATATGCTTGCAGCCGTTTCTGCATTACCTTTAGTAAAACTTTACTGGCATGGGCTATCAAAGAGATTGTCTGATGGTTTCAGCATTCTGTTGGGTCACTTCTCTTTGGAATGGGCTGTCTTCCAAATTTCTTGGCAGAGATCAGTGAGTGCCTCTTGTGCCTCCTCACTCTCTTGAAAGAGTTCAATTGCTATTCCATCAATTCCTGGTGCCTTGTTCTTTGTCTTAGCTAACCCCTAAAGTCTCAGTGTGAGTATAGGGAGTGGGGGGGATACAGAGTGAAGGGCAGCATCTAGGTCATCCATGTAGGGTACCATCTTCTCCACCTGCTATGCCCCATTCTCCTGCTGACTATCTTGCCCTCCTGCCCAAAGGCCTGGTATGCTTGACAATGAGGGACAGAGATTTTGAGTCTCCTTAGGGGAGTGGTGAAAATGTCCAGGACAAGATGAAGAGTAGTATGAGGCTGCGGTGGGGACCAGCCTTGACTCACCCCAGAAGATGTATATTCTCACCCAGCTCTACCTCCTTCATTCCACAGTCTTGGCCATGTCCCCTCACTCAGACTCTTTGGAGAGGACCTGTGGGACCAACCCCTGCCCAGTCTTCTTCCCAGGAAGTTTCTGGAAATGAAGAAGACAGTGGAAGTGAGTGTGCCATGGAACATGAGAGCCACCAACATATGTGAAGATAGCTCTGGACATTGGGTACCCAGGCATGTATGATCGCAAAATGGTATGGGCCAATGTCTTGGGGTCAGGAAGAGACAAGATGTGCAGAATGATGGAGACTGAGTTTAATCACATGACCAATGAGTCAATCAATCAATCTTGCCTACATAATTGTGGTGCCCTAAATTTATTTGATGTGGCTTTTCTATGCAAAATCTTCTTAATTCCCACCAGGAGATTGGGTGGGACCATGCAAATAAGGTATATTTGTTAGTTTTGTCCTCCAGCTAAGTTTAAAAGGCGCCATCTCAGAAACAGAGAGGGAAGATCTCAGGACCATAAGAAGGAAGAGCATGAGTGGAGCATGAGACATCAAGAGGCAATCGCAAGAGGTAACCACAGAGACAACAGTAGAGGCGACAGCAGAGGCAGTGGCATGGAGAGACAGCAGCTTCGGGTTTTAGACCTATGGACTGAGTAAAGCTGAGTGCCTGCAGGTACGAGACTGGCTTGCAGAATGTGCCCTTTATGCATTCAGTGACTGCCTAAAAGAACTTTGTATCACTTGTCCAAGCAGGGTAAAAACCAAGAGGCCACATGCCTGAGAGACTGAAAACAAGAGTGAGGCATGCCTGCAGTATGGCAGACAAGAGGCTGCCTGGAGAACTGCTTCATTCTGAGTTGATTTTGATCCTAAAATTGTACCCTGTTCGCTTTGCTAATAAACCACAGAATCATGAGTATTGTTATGAGTTCTGTGTAGCCAATGCAATGACTTCTTGAACCCAGATATGAAGCAGAGAGTGCTGTGGGAGGGAGGGATGGTGTCAGAATAGGATAAAGAAGGTTGCAGGGTAGAAGCATGTCTGACCTTGGCCTCAAAATTGTCCTTCGGCTGATTTTGAGTTTGATTCTGTTTCCCTCTTGTGAAGCCAGGGGAAATCAGACAAGGTTTCCACATAGTTGTTGAAATAATGAAACTAAAAACTATCAACATCAAGGCTCAAATGAACTTCCCTGATCAATGGTAATATTTTTCATATTGTGACATATTGATGGGCTTAGAGTATGGCTTGTCCTTGAAGACAATGTATGCTCTTGACTTCTCAGGTATCAACTGATGACTGACCACATCAGGGGACTCAGATAGAGTAGACCATTTACCACATTCATTTTTCTCACCCTAGAAGTTACAGACACCAATCCCTACCCATCTTCATCATCCTTGGCCTTGGTTAACTATATCTCCGAATTGGCAGTGAAGTCTGCATTTCACTTCTAATATGGCTATTACTGCCTACTCCATATCTGCATCTCCCTTAGAAATATCATGGGCTGCCAGAAGAACAAATAAATCTGTACTGGAAGAAATAATAGAATGCTCCTTGTTGTGGTTGTTAAATGCTGTCAAGTCAATTCCAACTCATATTGACACTATATAGGGTTTCCAAGGTGCAGCTGGTGGATTTGAACCAATGACCTTTTGGTTCCCAGTCCAGTGACTATCCTACAGAGCCACACTTTTGTTGTTGCTACTGTTAAGTGATGTTGAGTCTATTCTGACCCATAGCGACCCTGTATAGGGTTTCTGAGTAGCAGCTGGTGAGCTTGAACCACCAACCTTGCAGTTCAAATAGCTTTGCAGTCTGGTGCATTAACCCACAGTGCCACACCTAGACTCCCAGAGCAACATTAGGAGTCTGGAATGCTTCTTAGAAGCCAGGATGGCATGACTTCATCTCTCATGTTTTGGACATGTTATCAGGAGGGATCAGTTCCTGGAGAAGGAAATCATCCTTGGTAAAGTGGAAGGTCAGCAAAAAAGAGGAAGACCCCTCAACAAGATGGATTAACACAATGGCAGCAGCAATGGGTTAAAATATAACAATTATGAGGATAGCAGAGGAACTGACAGTTTTTCATTCTGTGTGCATAGGGTCTCCATGAGTCAGGACCAGCTGTACGATACCCAACAACAACTATATCTATTACCCTTTTCAGTTAACCAACTTCTAGCATTCTTGATCCTCTCTGTTGTGTCTTTGTCTTGTGTTTTACTCATATTTGCAATTTTGTTATGATTTTCTTACTTTTCTTTTCTGTGATTTCAATTTGCAATTTTTTATCTGAATTCTTGAGCTAGAGACTGAGGTCATGGATTGCCCTCCTATTCCTGTCCTGTCACATGCAGTACTGCATGCCTCTTTCAGGTTGACACTAGAAACATCCCCCTGTTTGTTTACATCATATGGTTTTAATCACTTATTCAAAAAAATATGCCCTGCACAAAGTCAGTGACATAGCCACAGAGGACTAGACTGGATAGTGAAGCGTCCAGCTGATAAGAGAGGGCATATGCATGAGAACATCCACACTTGCAGATAATACCCACTTGACCTGGCTTCAATGACTGGATGATTAGACCTCAACTAGAAGAAGAAAGAAGAGGGAAGAAAGGAGTAATCTGACACAATTTGATGAACTTGACCTACACCTATGGATGCAGTAGCTCAAAAGAGGGAACAAATCTTTACAACAAGGATCATTCCCACCCCCTCCATACACAGAGTAGACAGGGATGGGCAACTTGGACATTGGCTACCCAAAAATGGGGGGTACAAAGGCAAGAAGTGACTGGCTTACAAGCTTTCAAGAGGGAGCCTAGATCCAGAGGGC